AATTGACTCTGGACCAGCTGCGTTCCTCTAAGTCTTCCTACCAATATGACCAAGTTGTGAAAACAAGGTCAAGCAACTTCTAAATAAATTATTGTTGGGGAACTTTCATTTCGTATGAAAGTGCATAAGAAGAGATTAGTAGGTTGATCTCACCAGAAGAGGAAAGATGAATCCCGTTGTACTGCAGCCGTTTGGCATTTATACGACGTTCAGGTTGACGCAGTCCACGAGTCAAATGGCTGCAGTACAACGGGATTCATCAGTCCTCTTATGGTGAGATAGACCTACGAATCTCTTCTTCATACACTTTCATACGAAATAAAAGTCCCCGCAACAATGTCATCGAACCCAGTTTATCTTCGTATCTGTCAATAAACTAGTGTATGATCCAGTAGTCCTTGGTCTTTTTATAGCCTAATGGATGCGTGTTTGTGTGTGTATGCAACAACCCCGTATTAGTTGACAATTTTAGGTTCAAAAACAAGCTACAGCTTAATCTAGTCTTCTCTTATTCAGTGGCTCTTTCTGTTCCCTGTCCTTATCTCTCTCTCATTCTATTTAGAAGCCAGAGATAGTTCTTGTTTATTTTCCTACATTTATTCCTTTTATTCAGGCTGTTGTATGTTTTTTTTAATTTCATTCGAATCCCTGATCTTCCGCTTAGCTGTGAAGTACCCATATCCGGCAAAATGTTGGGATTTAGACCATTCTATCTGGGGTCCTGTAGCGACCACATGTTCATCCACTTCCGATTTCTTAATTTATAAACCTTTGCAGGAGGTTCTGTCTTCTGATAGCCTCTTATGTATGGGTTGACAAGTCTCCCCCACATAAACACTATCACATTAGCGAGAAACCTTATAACAACCTGATCTGCAAAGAGCGTCGGAAGATTCTCTAAAAGAAGGCATGCTCGAGGAAAACGTTATTGTTTCTTTATACATTCTCTTGACACTCCATTTCCTCAATAATTCGCCTATATTTCTTAATCATTCTCTAGTTTATTTACATTGACAAAAATTGTGACCACATCCACTCCCCTGCCTGCATCACTTTGATCCAATTAAATGCATATAGGACAAGCATGCGCAAGCCAACCAAGTCATGGAATGCCTCATTAAGATCGCAAAGTGAGCTACAAGAACTAAGTCGGATCTCAGCTGGCCACCTTTATCGGTTTAGTGTTTTTGGTGATTTTTCGTGAATATTGGTTTCTGGCTCTGACGATGTGCGTAACAGGACGGACGAAAGCTCAGCACGGAGTCATCGGGGTCTTAAGACCGCGCTGAATTCAACAGATAGAAGTTCAAGGCAACCCTCCTGCAATATCCCGTGAGGCCAATCTACGAATCCCTACGACCCGCCTTCTCAAATAAAATGAAAGGCACGCCAGTATCAATCTATTAAAGAATCTTTCGAAGCCCAGCTTATCTTCATATTTGGTTAGACGTGGTTTGCGCAACTTGGTCGGAAAGTCAGGGAGACCTTGTGGAACGTACCTAGTTCTATGTCATCTGCCATAGTATTCGTGATTTCCAGCACTGGATCATTGGCTGAGTACATACCCATGCGTTTCGCTGGCATCGTAGTCGACATCTTTAGTTTATTTACGTATAAGATAAGCTACTCTCGTGTCCCAAAGCAACGATAGTTCAGGTAAAAATGCGTACTATATGGAAAAGTGTTATCCATTTAAAATTATCGCTAAAAATATGTCCTCTTTAGTGATATGATCTACGGTGTATGGCGAATAAATTAAGGTCCAAAAGTAATTTAGTGCTGATGTCTTTCATGGATAGATGCAAAGAAAGAAGTGGGCGATAGGGAGACGATTGGAGCTCACCAAAATGCTGGATGCTTGGTTAACCGGCGCCAAGGAAAGAGGCCCTGTGTAGATATTCGGTGGAGCGGATTTCGACAAGGACCCCGTATGAAAGACCATGCAACTGGTTTGGACGAAGCAGGCACTGTGCTAATGATGCCAGCGCTGGAGTGTGAGTTGGAATAAACGGAATCCAGCCAAGCTGAGGATGGAGAAGCATGGTAGCGACTATGATCAGAAGACTGAAGTTGACCATGTACATATTCAGGATCTGTGTTAATTGTCAAATCGCAAGGAACAACGGTCACGCGTTCGATTGTAATCGGCAATTCAGCTTTTAATTCAGTTATGTGAGCCTTCTGTATGCATGTGTAATGAAGGAAATAAGATTAAATGTTATGAGCAGTAAAAAGGTAAATAAGTTTGGAATAAAACGATACAATCAGCAGGGTGGCATCCCTAAAACAATAGGGAAGTACCAAAGAATGGACATTAAGGGCACTAGAAAAATAGAATAAAGGGTGTTTTCATAACGATGAATAGGCCATGTTTCCATTGAGTTTCACATATCCTAGCTTCCCAAAATAAACTAAAAATAAATGTTAATAAAAAATGTCAAGTTTGAAGGAAAAATGACAAAAACATGCTAATAAGATAGTCCTTTAAAAGATCATTTAATTAGAGCTTTAAAGAAAATGGATAAAAATCATCTTAAATACTGTGATGTAAGATGAATCCAAGTTGTGTAAAAGCAAAGGAAGGATTTCCATATGGCTGCAAGCGGCAAATACAGTATACAAACCATAATATAAATTTCATACAAACGGCAGCGTGTGCTACAAAATGAAATATAAAATGCCGGAGCGTCTACATTTTATTCTGAAATACAAATTTGACTAATTTTGTAAAAGTATTTTATAGAAAAATGGAAAGGAAAAATACACATTTACTATGCAATAAGCTAAGAGCGCAATAAATATCCGAATCCATGGGCTGATGATATTGATGCTGGAAAGCAATATTAATATACTAAATATAAGCATTCTAATAAATTCGAAGATATTTCCTGATAAAATAAATTATATTAATAAGCCAAATATACGCAGAAAGAAATAATTGCTCATGAAAGATTCCACAGTATTCATTCATATAGGCAGCGTCAGTTTTTGAGAAGTTGTTTGACCTTGTTTTCGCAATTTGGTCATATTGGTAGGAAAGTACCTAGTCCGGAATTCATTGTATGCATGCTCATTTTCAAAGTCGGACCTCGAGGGGTTATTCGCCCCCACCTGCGTCTGGGTGACTAATTCGAGGGTTAAGCCTCTGAGTGTCATGGTCACCCGT